ATATATATATATATATATTGCGATTTTACTCTTTATCTTCATCATTGGAAAATCAAGTCAACTAAAAGGCTAAACCAAGATTACGAAGATTTTAGTACTCTTCCGCGTGCCTCTTTTTATCCGTGGGTCTTGAAAAGACTAAGGTTGTCACTACAAAAAGCAGTGACACGAGTTTTTTTTTGTTGTGGTCGACCAGGGTCAGTAAGAGAACTTAGGTCTACTCTACAGGTCGAGCACATGGTTCTCATTTTTCGTTTGTTGGCTGCACTGTTAGTTCCGCTTGGAAGTGATATATCATGCTTTTATTGAAGCACAAGCTATATTATACTTAGAAAGGTTAGCTTGAACAAAATATTATCGTCTTGTTTGGGGCGTTCAATTTGACAACACTCAACAGGGTTAAGAAAGCGATTTGGTCCGAGTTTAAATTTTTCAGGCTGGAACCAAAGAGGGCAGCTTGCTTGTTCGACATTCCAACTTTAATTTAGTTAGGTAAAATACCAACTTTAATTCTGACTTTTTTCCCAGTGTTAGTCCAAGAAATTTATTCTTGAAATCTACCTATAAGGCTATAAATGGGCTTCTAAACATTAGATTAAAAAAAAAAAAAAAACTATATGGTTTGGAGGATGACGTAGTGAGAAAAAGGTATTTCGCGTAAATATTAGACGATTTAATTGGTCAAGAATGCTTGACTTATTACTTTATTGGACAAACTACTAGGAGTCATGTATCGTGTGTAGAATTTATTTTGGATTTAACGGATAATCTATTTGAAGAGGTAAATAGGCTTCGTAGATTCTAAAATAATAAATAATAAGGCTTTTGTATATCTACTTATAAGTAAATTAGTTAAATTTTACTTATAAGTAGTTTTACCATTTAGGCGTTGTAGAGCTCAAAGATATATTTGGCTTCATATTTTATAACTCTAGTTCATAATTTTTAACACATCTCGTGCACAATAATTAATGCTAAGATTCGTGGTATAGTAAATATCATAGACAATCCATTGAAGGCTGATTGCATGACGATTTAATAAATTTAAGAATGCATAATGTACATCATTTACTTGTATTGAATCACGTAATTGTCGAAGAACGTGTTTTACAGTTCTTGAAGAGCATGTTTTATAGTTTTTAAGTTAGATATCCTATCAAATGTAGATCTTAAAATCATCAAAAATTTTAATTTACTTATTTTAAAAGTAACTTTTAAATACAAATAAATAATTAAAGTGTATAACTTTCCAAATTTTAAAAGGACAAATAAAGAGTAATGTTATTTATAGTCATCTCACGTAACAGTTTATTATTTGAGAGAATGAAATTATAAAAAATTAATATTTTAAATAACAAACTATCACGAACAACAATTAACCGGTGGATATGAACTGTACTATTCATAAAGGAAAGGTGCACTAATAGGAGTGGTGTTAAAATCACCCGGTGATGCGCGTGGTCGCATCGGCAAACCAAAAACCAAACACATCTCCATAGTGGTGGGTCCCGCCTCTAATTATCTCTCCTGCCCTGACTGCCCGAGTTTGCCACTTCCCGCTACTGGAAACTGACCAAATTGCCTGTCGGATTAGAGATTTTAATAACCAAATTCGAAGCTATTTATTGTTTACTTGTTAAAAGGGAGAATAGTAACGTAATATAAGTGCTCGTTAAGTATTTTTTTAATCGCTACATAGTAGGATGTGATTAAGTCTCCGTTTATTTCTCATTTTTCATCCATAAAAAGAAAAAATATGACCGTTATTTATCACATCAAACCATCAATTTTGAATTTTTATATCTTATGTGGGGTCCAATAACGACTATATTTTTCATTCCTTTTCTAAAATATTGAAAATCAAACGAACCCTAAGTTATATTCAAATTTTATAATAAATATAAATATTGTTAACTCAAACGTTAGTTAAAAATAAACATTTACGTCATTTCATCTCACAATGATTAGATTTTTTTGTTTGTATATCGTTTCAGTTTGTTTTGTTCGAGTATGCTCGATGTACTTGTATTTGACACTTGATCTTTGTTCGCCTGACTATGATCGATATACTTGTATATGAGTTTTGATCTATAAAATTTTACATTTATAAATAAAAAAAAGATTTATTTTCCTTATAACCATATACACCTTGAAAAATACAGATTGCTCAAAAAGGTGCTGTGGCACCTGCCCATGTTCTCCGGGCAGCCTCCCATTTGCTTTTTTGAGTCATTGATTCTATTAAAAAGTAAGAACAGATAATTCTCACTTTCAAATAAATTTTTCTTATATACAGTTATAAATTACATACATACACATTGTTCGCAATAGATGAAATATAAAAAAATACCGTTTGATGATTAGTTCAATTTTCATTTAATATTCTTTTGAGCATTGTTGGTCAGCATATTTGAGTCTTTTGTTGGGATTCCAATATCCTTTCCAAGAACGGACGTTTCTGGGGTGGTGGCGTCGTAATTGTTAATACTTTTTGAACTGAGATTATTATCGTTATTATTCTTATCACTATCTGATTTCAGAGTTGCTTGTTGCAGAGAGCCAAGGGGTAAAGTTTCATTCTTTGAATGTCAGCATGTGATCTGCAATCTCTGAGCTCTTTTGAGCCCTATTAATGTAATTTTCAGCTAATCTTTTCAACTGGGTCCGAGTTATTTCATCATTTTTCTCTGGGTTTTATTTTATTTATTTATTTATTTTGAGAAAAAAGTGGTTCTTGAAGTGGAAAGAGTGATAAGTAATATTTTCAGGTATTTAGGTTAATCTTAAAAGTGGACGAAGGATGTTTTATTAGCTGATCCTGTTACTAGGCTGAGCTATTTTTCAATTTCTTTTTGTGGATTTTTGAGTAAAAATTGGTTCTTGAGGAGAAGAAAGTCACCTGTTCTGGTTTGGATATTTTGGTTTTCTTCAAAGTGGGTGAAAGGTGGTCTTTTGTTATCTCTGGCTGATTTTCTCAAACAAGTTTGGCTTGATTTAGTTGATTCTAGGGGTTTAGAAGGGAATAGGACTGGAAGTGAGATACTATTTGGCAAACTTTCTTTAGGAGGAGGTTGGGTGGAAATTGGGATTTGGGGGGTTTTTGTTGATTCTAAGTTTGTTAAAGATGGGACTTGGTGGTGATAGCTTGAAGGCGGAATCTTGGGATGTGGTGAAATCAAAGGGAAGGAAGAAGAAGAAAAATGATGATGCTGTGGAGGGGACAGGATGTTGGATTAAGTTGAGGTATATTGGCAGCTGTATGTGTTCAAGATCTAAAGTTGATACCTCTATCAGTGGCATCAGCGCCCGTGGTAATCATTTACTCATTTTCCATTTTCCAAGTGTCAAATTCCGAGTTAAAATTTATCTTTTATTAGTGCTTTCATTTTTCATTCATTGGTTAGTCTGATTTGATATCTATTTTTGTTCTCTTTTTCTTCTTTGTTTGGATATCCAATTGCTTAGGCAGTCTGGTGACATTTTAGCACATTTATGTCATTGCAACAAAAATTAATGGTGTATAGTGAGCATATAGTTAGAGAGCCAGTATGATTAAGGATGCTGATCAGTGTTTTTGGTTGTTCCAAGAATTGTAACTATGTCAAGAATTAAATTTTTCGTGTATAATCCTTTTGCAGACATAAGGTGAATAGCTGAAGGTGCAATGTTTACAATTTAAAGTTGTGGGAAACTTAATAGAACACTGCTTATCATGTTGTGCAAAATTAGCTTACTTTAGGTGCTTACAAATTTGGTTACAATAGTTAATTCTACTTGTTTTGAAGTTTCATAATATTGAACTAAATACATTTGGAACGGTAATTGTTGCTGTCAACGTTTAGTCTTCTATTACATATTCAGTTCTAATATTTGTTACTAGATATTATGTCCATTTACTTAGTTGAATAAGTTTAGTCCAATTAACATATAGTGAGATATACCGCATGCTACGCCAGACAATGACAATGTAGACTTTTCCAATCACGAGTCTGCCTTCTTCTTACCTATTGCTTCATTGTCACGTGAACAGAAAGTAAATCAGCAAACGATACTAGTAAAGACCAACCAGCTTCCCTGGTACTTCCATCCACCACCACGAGCAATGCTGAAAGCAAATCTTCCAGCTTCAAACTTGAAGAGGAACTTAAAGTATCTTCTCGGCTTCGAAAATTCACATTTAATGATCTGAAGCTGGCCACGAGAAATTTTAGACCCGAATCTCTTCTTGGTGAAGGGGGATTTGGTTGTGTATTTAAGGGGTGGATTGAAGAGAATGGGACAGCACCGGTGAAGCCTGGAACAGGACTTACTGTAGCTGTGAAGACCCTCAATCATGATGGACTTCAGGGTCATAAAGAATGGCTGGTTTGATGCTTTCTCAATATGATTTTCTTGAAGTAGCTGTCAGTCCTGTTTTATTGGTATTATTTTGTTTGGATTATCTGAATTGCAATTTTTTTTTGGCAGGCTGAAGTAAATTTTCTGGGTGATCTTGTCCATCGTAATTTGGTCACATTAATTGGTTACTGTATAGAAGAAGATCAGAGGCTGTTAGTTTACGAGTTTATGCCTCGGGGAAGCTTGGAGAACCACCTTTTCAGAAGTATGTATTGAATCTTCTTCCAGTGTTTTTTGCATGGATGACCTGTTGGAGTTCAGGTTATGTCATATAGAATTCATTTGAGAGAATCTTTTTCTATTTCTCATGCGTAATTTTAGAGCGAGTTATCTCCTTGGAATTTGGTTGAAAATCCTGGAGTCCTGGACGCATTCTCTAAATAATGAAATATCTGCGTTTCTTCTATTTTAATTAGTAATATGAATGTGTAGGTTAGAATCATGTCCAATATTTGTCAAGTTGGAGTTCCAAACCATTTTTATGATATGCAAGCACTAAAATTTTTCGTTCACTTGGTAGTTCATATTTTATGGTCTAAATTCCTGATTTCAGTTAGTAAAACAGGGTTCAGCAAGCATGTTCTTCTTGTTGGGTGTGTTGATGCAGAGTCTGATAATAAACCACAGTGAATTCCTACTGAAAGATGTTTATTTTTTAGTTTGCATTTGACAAACTCTGGAACACTCTTGCATATCAGTATATCATAGTAGGGTAGCTGCATTTTCCTAGATGCATGTTGGGGTAACGTATTTGGATTGGAACATAAAGGCTATAGTATATTTGCATAATGACCCAAATGCAGGCAGGTGGAGAAAAAAAACTACCAAATCCTACTTTCTTGAAGAAAAATATTTGATAACGTCAACATTAAAATATGTGCAAGTGAAAGCCAGTAAGTTTTACTGATGACAATGACATCTATGATGAAGCAGCATCTAACCAAAGTTTTGAGTGGCAGCGAAAGCCCCTATTCATTATCAGATTCTGGTGCTCCAAGTCTTTTCCATTTTCACTGCATTTGAGCATTTTGTGTTGGACATATTAATGACATTTTCCTTTCAAAAGAGAGTATGAAACTAATATCATAATATCTTTGTTTCACATTTTCAGTGCTAGAGCACTTATTTTTTAACCCATGTAGCATTGTTCCGCTAATTGAATCATTATAATTTGTAGGGTCTTTGCCACTTCCATGGTCTATCAGGATGAAAATTGCTCTTGGTGCTGCAAAGGGTCTTGCTTTTCTTCACGAGGAAGCAGAAAGACCCGTGATATATCGTGATTTTAAGACGTCTAACATCCTGTTGGATGCTGTAAGTTCCCTACGCTTGGCAAACCACATTCTTTTAAAATGCATTTCCCCGATATATCAATTAACATAATAGCATTATTTTTCAGGAATATAATGCCAAACTTTCTGATTTTGGACTTGCTAAAGATGCTCCAGATGAAGGAAAAACTCATGTTTCTACCCGTGTGATGGGAACCTATGGTTATGCTGCCCCAGAATATGTCATGACAGGTGAAATTTTTATGCATCTCTAACTGCAAAGTAATGATCCTACCAAAAGGACGAAAATTCAAGAAGTGAAATAAGAGAATGGAGAGTCCTAAGATAACTCGCGAAAACCTTTAGAATAAAGGAAAAGTTACATGGCAATTTCTCAAGTAATAGGAAATCTTACACTTCATCCTTAGCTGACCTGACGTTTTCCGTTTTGAATCTTATACAATCATGACTGAAAACCCTTCCTGCTCTATATCACTAATTTGCTCTGGTAGAATTACTGCAACAACTCCATGGCTGAATCTTATGTATAAGAAAAACTTGATAGGTCAACTTCAGGATAGGGTGGGAATCTGGTCTATTTAAATATGTATCTCTCTTCTATTTATTGTTTGTTTCACCTTTTGTTTTAGACTGCTTTTGATTAAGATACTATGAACTGAGCCAATGACAGCTGTGATGAAATTGTTCTATGCTGTTTGTGATGGTGCCAAAATTCTGATATTGTATCCACACAGCCCTATAATTTTTCATGTTTTAGTGTTTCCTGTTCAATTCTAGTGCAGTATCTCTACTTCCGAGGAGTCGTGAAGGCTGTTATGGATGGGTATCTTATGCTCATCTTGAACATAGCGCTTGTACATTGTACACGTTGCCTTATATCATTCTATATCCTTCTAGCAATGTATCATGGTCTTGAACAAACATGGAATGAGTACGCTTAGTAGGCTAGATGTTTCCCCACCCGATGCAATTCACTTGTGCAAGAGAAGTGTTGGAAATCTGATATTTATTTGGTCTTGCTTAATAACTATCCATTACTACGTGTGATATCCTTGATTGTGTTTGAATTCGAATTCATCTCTTCAAAATCTATGTTTAAAAATGTTTCTAATAATAAAAGCGTGTCAAAATTTTATGGTTAAGAATGTTCAAACTTGATCTGGGATTTTTCATGTTTGTTAGATGCCTTGAATAATTCTTCAGGGTTTGCATGACATCTCTATTTATTCTGATTGGATTCTATCCTTCTCTGTTACAGGGCATCTTACATCGAAGAGTGACGTCTATAGCTTTGGTGTTGTCTTGCTCGAGATGCTCACAGGTAGAAGATCAATGGACAAGAATCGGCCTAATGGGGAGCATAACCTTGTGGAATGGGCTAGGCCTCATCTGGGAGAGAGGAAACGCTTTTATCGTCTAGTGGACCCTAGGCTCGAGGGGCACTTTAGTATAAAAGGTGCCCAAAAAGCTGCACAGTTGGCTGCGTCTTGCCTTAGCCGGGATCCCAAATCCCGGCCTCTGATGAGTGAAGTTGTTGAAGCCTTGAAGCCTTTGCCAGGTCTGAAGGATATGGCAAGCTCATCGTACTATTTTCAGACCGTGCAAACTGAGCGTGTTGGGTCAAGTCCAAATGTTAAAAATGGCCTAAGAACACAAGGATCATTCTCGAGAAATGGGCTGCAACATCCAAGAAGCCTCTCAATACCAAATGGTTCTCAAGCTTCGCCGTATCATTATCAGTTTAGTCGGAATTCACCGAAACCAAACAGTAAACCGTAGAATTGGTTCGGAAATCTGTGTTTCTTTTCCTCTCTTCTAACATTCTTGGATATGGATATATTTTATTGGCGATTGTCCATAGATTACTGAAAAAGTAACAGGAGTATACATTTATGGCATGTTTGGGAAGGTAGATTGAATTGTATTGAACAGTATTAATTAAGAGAAAGAAGTTCAAAACTTCAAATCTTGCTATTGTACTGTCCACTCTATCTCTCACTTCGTTAGAGGTGCTTTATGGGGAAGAATGCAATGTAAACGGAGTTAATGGAGTAAATTTTTACCGTGTTAGAATCTCTCTCATGTGTGATACATAACGTGCCCAGTTCAATTTTGCACGATGACATCTATGTGATCTTAGGAGTTGTGTTGGTAATGTTGCATGTTGATTTGTGTATATACAGATGTACTCTATTCTCAAGTGATTGTTTGATATGCGATACTCGACATGATTGTCCAGTGTCGTTGCTAAAGACACCGTCGATGCTAAAATGTCATCCGATTTAAGCTGCTAAAGAAATTTATTCGTGTCTCTAATATGTGGGTCATTTTTTCTCTCCTCGTATAGTAGTAGCAAAACTGAGTATTTGCTTACTCTGGTACCACATTGAATGACTTCCTCGTCTAAATTAAGCTTGAACTATCTGTACATAAACATGCAGTCCAATTCCATTCGAAGATGAAGTTCAATGACCTTATTACCGAGATATATAAGCAACATCAATTAATGTTGCACATTAATGGAATTTAAGCTCAACAATTGAGCCACTATCAACATCTGTGAAGCAAATCAAAAAAGCATTCTAGATCATGCCCGAGAAAAACAATATTTTTTACAATCCAGACCCATTGAATATGAAAAAATAAAGACCATATTGAAAGACATCAAAAGTTTACAAAGAAGACGAGGCATTCCAAGAATCAGCACTATCTACCTTATTACTCTGCATCTCAACACGATGCCACCAACCTCAATTGCAAAAAGCTTAACTTCATGGCTTGAGAGCAACAGCCAATCCAACCTGGGCACTTTTTTCAATTGCCCTCGTGTCCACTTCGCCTGAGATCGTAACGAGGGATTTTGGTCGCCATTGATGCTGTATAAGAGCACTTACCTTCCCGTAGTTGTTTACTCGAGCTTTCACTGCGGTTAAAGGATCCAACAAATGTTGTGTCCCAATGGTGAGGCTGTTTTCATTGCTCGAAAAGCAGTGTGTCAACTCGGCTCCAACTGCAGTATTGGTCATTGGGCTTACCATGTGGAAGTAGGATGCAGTGAGCGATTCGCCTTTGTTATTTCTGTATAAAGAAACAGCCATCTTGTCAGGAAAGAAACAAAAAACCGACAGAAACAAGAGAACTCGTCATTGTCATCTAAATCTGGGCGTCCCCAGATAAAAGAAAAACTCATAAATCTTTTCTTCTCTTCTGTTCTGCCAATAGAACTTCGAGGAAATGGAATGTTAGTATTTGTTTGCATAATGTCCAAGTGTTTTTAGAAGATTGTGAATTCTATGGAGAAAACATGAGCAGTGACACCAAACTAGAACATGGAACAGCAATAGCTTTTGCACTAGTCACTAGCAATAAACTACACATAAAACACCCTCCTTTTCATGAACATGCAAGGCAACGCCAGCCTTGAGAAATTTGAGGCCCTAAGCAACTAATTATTCAGAGGCCCTAGGAGTAAATTTTGTTCTAGAAGCACTAGTGGTTATCCAAAATAAAACAACATATAATAAACTAATCAAGTTTTAAGATGGATGATTAAACATAACCATCAATTAAAGTAATATCAACCTAAATATGTACGAAATCTATTATTCTATCGTGTGAACCAGCATAGAGTTCCATATCAGCAATAAATGGCTCAGTACTCAAGTATACGAACATAATGAATTCTTCTGATAATTATTGTAGTTTTTCACCTGGTTACAGTATTATATTCTGATGATTTTTTTGGATTTTCTAACAAATAGGGAATAGAGTGATTATTATACAATTCATAGTACAGACTATAGAGGTGCAAAGAAAATAGGGGAACAACTTTCCTTTTGTCTTCAACTTATTTTCTTCCTCATTCATGAAATTCAAAATCCAAGAAAAGACTTTCTCATGAAGAACACACAAGGGAAATCAGTTTTCTATGTTCTGTTGCTCTTCCTTTTACTTCACAGAATTGCAAACTAATGTGCATCCAAAATGCACCAAACAGATGGCACATAATTGATTTTCACTCAACCAATCTCTAAGAACCAAACCAGTTAGAGATCTATTATAGAATTCAAGGGATCGATAAACCTATAAAAACAAATGTTATTCCTTCTCAATTTAGAGAAATCCACAAATTATTGCACATTATAATCATTCTCTACCGAATGAACAATGGAGAAAAATACAATCTTGAAAACAATACATGAGATGAGAGCGAAATTAAGGGACACGAACCAATTGCTTGTAATTTCTTTTTCTCACGATCTCGAAATTTTTTTCTGCCATTTTGTGAATCTCACCATCTCTCTTCTAAAAAGGGATTAATTTGAGTAAGTGGGTTTTGGATGGGTCTTAGGGGCAGGTTTTGGGCTGATTTTTTTTTAAGAGGCCCCTACAAATCCTGAGGCCCAAGGCGACTGCCTAGTTCGCTTTGGGCCAAAACTGGGCCTGATGCAAGGGAAAGACGAGCAGTCTTCGGAGAGTGTGAGTTGCAGGAACTCATCAAAAGCATATATGGTGAAGTGCTAGTAGGTTTATAGAATGAGAGATGATAACCACATTCACCGAGATACAGCTAGTTAGATATCTATAATTTTTTGTTTAACTGAGAGAGTATGTTTGCTAGCAAGTACAAATGGATAACATTTTAACTTTTTTTTCTTCTTTAATAGTGTCCAATATTGTAAAGTCTACCCTATCCAACAAGCAGAGCAGTTACTCACAACGTCAAGGACGCAATCAGGTCGGAGGTGGTGAAATTTACTCCAGCATTGCATCTGGTGAAGTTCCCAGTAGAGGTGTCAAACGAGATATCAGTCCCAAAGGCAGCCTGATTGCTCCCAGCAACACCAGAGAAGTTGACAATGGGTTTTGCAGTTAGCCCAAGGCTAGTACTTATTCCCGCATACTCGTGCAAATATTGAAGCTCTACCTGTTACCAAAATTTCGAGAAGTCAGTGGCACCTAGAGCACGTTTGGTACACAATACTAAGTAGAACTTGACAATATAATAGAAAAGATTTTAACTTGTGTTCTTCTTCAGTCTGTTCAATACTATTTAATCCTCCATACCAAACATGACACTAGAGTTCAATCCCCATCAAAATAAATTTCAGTCGGGGATAGCACAAGGAACCAATAAAGCTTTAACAACGCACTAAGAAAATATTAACATAAATTATCACATCTAGGAGGATAAATACCTTGCCAGAGTTTTGATCAGGAGCGATGAAGCTAAAAATAGCCTTCACTCCTGGAGCAGCTTCATCCACAGTTATGGTAGTGTGAACCTACATGACCAGACAACCTTTAAGGTGAAGAATCAAATTTCAATTACAATGAAGTGTGTCATCTGACCAAACAGTGCCAAAAGAAGGAAAAAAGATAAAAGAGAGAGAGAGAAAAGAAGGATGTCTCCATAACCATAAAATATTATATAGTTACACAACATCACCTATTAATGAATTAGATATCGTCTGGCTAAACTTATTAGAAGATACCTTTTTGGGATTTTTAATTTCAAAAACTTGCTTTTTTGGAAGTAAGTCGATAGACCTGCAGTTAAGTGGATATACCAAAGGCACAACAAAAGAACAAAGGGCAGTAAAGGAAATTAATGAAGAGAGGAAGTCACATGCAGCAGGTGCACAGTTACAGAATCAGTTGAGGGAATATGTGGGCAGCACAAACACATATAAATAGAGGGGATTGTTTCTTTGGGAGGCAGGCAGAATTTGGGTAGTTTACTGGGAGAGAATTGGCCTCTCGAATGCAAAATATCCTTATTTCATTTCAATGCTGCATTACAGAAATAGAGTTATACAACTTGTTGTTATTCTTCATAGCAGAGTTATTTCCTATCTTTTAGTATAATTACAGAAAATTGAGAATAAAATTCCAGCTTGGGCTATCTTTCTTCTGTCTTACTCTATCTGCTCTTAATCTGGTTGGGTGAATTGCATTGGTAACAGGAACCTGTCTTTACTTGCTTTCCAAAAAAGGACTTTCATTTTTTTTTTCAAAGCTTAACCGAACACGGTAATGGCTCTCGCCTCTCTGTAATGCATTTCCAAAATTAAATATGTTGATTAGATGCTAAGAAAGCAGCAAAAAACAAAAAAAAAAAAAAGGGACGAATAGGGCTAAATCTATACTATATAAACGAAGATTTTAAAAAATTTAATCAAAGTATCGAGTTAATACTTTTTTTTTTTTTTTTAAATTGCATATTGGCGTGTGCGACACATATCGGGTCGGACACAAATTTCAATGTCGATGCATCATAGATGGTCAAGTAAGGGGTAGGTAAACCCAGTCAGTCATGTTACAAAACCACAGTAGACGACAAAATAGCATAAACATATTATCATCACAAAAATCAATCAATCTGATAAAGAAACTAAAAGCATTATCAAGGTATTGACATAAATACTACTATAGTGGAGTTATTATGTGCTTCAATAAGGCGATAAATTACTTAATGATGATGCACAACGACATATGAATAAAACTACATACTAGAGATCTCCCCAACTCATGGATTGAAGCACAGACCTAACTAAAATCCCACTAAGCAAAAGGTCGTGTGTGTGTGGGGGGGGGTTGTCCAGCCCAATTTTGATGTTAGTTTCAAGATGTAGCTGATGATGCAAAGACAAACTGATAAAAGTGGGGAAGAGCTAATTTCTTGAAAGTTCGGCTGCCTTCTTGGACTTCAACATCTTGTGGTTCACGAGATAATCAAGTCTTTTGGGCTGGCAAGTCAAGTTTCCATTTGGGTTAGTTTCCCATAATTTTGGTACCTCGTCTGCCACATAAATCAGCTGGCACCAGATCCAAAGATGATACACAACTACGACGCCAAAACATAGGACAGACCATGCATGGCAAAATCCTAGTATCATTCACGCTATCACGCACCTATTAGATTTGCATCAACAACCTTGCACTAATGACTTAGGCATTTTCGAGTTTCTTGTCTTTGGAAGTCGTCTTATTAATAAATCTACTACGGTAATATTCACGAAATACAGTCCAAGAAAAAGATAAGAAACAAATAATCATGTAAACAAGTGTAACAAATTACTATCGCACTACTAAACATTCCTAAAATAAGTAGATCACAAAAAATTTCAACAATACATAAGCTCAGATTTGTATCCAGTAATAACCTTATGATTAATAAACCGTGAAAAGGGCTTATTTATGCAAATCGCAAGAAGCGTCAAGTGAAGTATTTTGACTTACTTTGGAATTGGTATCTACTTTTACATCAGCTGTGATATTGTCGTGCTTCAGCTGAGTGTTAATATCTGCTAAAAGCAACCCACCTTTCTTGGTCCCAGAAGAAGTAATGGCCTGTAGTATAAATCAAATCGAAGGGAAATAAACATATAGAATATGAAAGTAGCTTCGCCCACAATCATCAAAACGGCAAAGAAATGTATTATTTGTTCATCCAGAGTTATCCCTAATGAGATTAGGTATTGTATAAATTACTATGTTGAAAAAGCACCACAATTGCATTTATTGAGATCTCAAGTATATAAATTTCTTCCAAGTGTGAATACAAATAAACTTACTATTTAAAAAAAAAAAATTCATCTCAAAATACTTAAAAATATAAGAAATGTATATGATATGGAAGAAGAAAAATCCTAACTTTTTATACAAGGAACGCTTTAGGGGGAAAAAAAAAGCAAACCTTATGATATTTCTTCTTAAATTGGATAGAGATCAAATAATTATATTGTATAAGCAAAAATGTTTTCAACAGCAGAATTTCGTTCATCAAATCAACTGGTCCCTTCAATATCTTCTACATGCATGCAACTCCTACTCCCACTCCCACTCCCACCCCCCACCCTCAACAGACACACATATACAACCCCATCTATATACACATTTTTAATTATACATGAGGAAATATACATTACTCACCACTCCATTTGAGGTGTATGTAGTGAGAGTGAATTTATGGTCACCCTGGTAGTCTCTATAAAGAAGATCTGAAAATCCCACAAATAATATTTAATTAAAATCACCGAAACAATTAACGAAAAATTCATAGCTAAATAAACACAAATAAACATAAATACACTCATATAACGCAAACCCATGAAGTTACTTACCTCTCGCTTTCTTTCCAATTTCAGGATAGAGGCCTGGACCCTTCACCATCACTATTTTTTGATTTCTTCTGTTTTTGCACCGAAAGCTAGAGAGAGAGACGAGAATGTTTTAGAGAGAGAAAATGAGAAATAGTTTGTCATTCGTCTTGCCTGGTATATAGCGAATTGTTAGTTGTAATAGCTTAATTACATCTATGACCCTATTTTTTCGCATTGTGTATGCGGACAGTAGGGTTTGTAATGGAAAAACTAGGAAATAACGTTTAATTTTCAAACATGAATGCCACTGGTGTCTTTTTTTTTTTAACAATATTAGGGAAAAAAAAAATATTGTGTTTTTGGAATTAGTGTCTACGGCTATCATTAAAAGGAAAAAAAATCCTTCATCTAGCTTTTTGAAGTTGTATTCTTTCTTCAAACTTTACTCACAAACTGACGTTTAGAAAAATGTTTTGTTTTTGGAATTAGTGTCTACGGCTATCATTAAAAGAAGGAAAAAAAATGATCCTTCATTTAGCTTTTTGAAGTTGTATTCTTTCTTCAAGCTTTACTCACAAATCGACGTTTAGAAAAATGTAATGAATTGAAGTCAACAAAGTTTTATCTAAGAGGTCGTTAGACAGAAAGCTCACATATAAATCTGATTGGTCGTTCCACCATTCAATCGATTGTATATTGATTGTATGTGTGGCAAGAGCATTGATCCTCTATACGACGCTCTGAAATTAATGTGAGATTTATGTTGAAGACAATTTATCCATCTTGAGTCCAACTTCTCATCTTTCCACTGGATTCCAACACTAACCACGTCAATAGAATCACTTTCCAGCCACACGTCTTCATTGCCCTTTTATCATGTGAACTATAATGAGTACATCATTGCATTTAACTTTGACTCAAAAAGCTCATCGGCATACCAAGGGAGCTATAAAACAACCCGTAACAAAAACCCCTAGCATTTTGAAAGATTTCCCCACAACTAGTCATGCATGTCTCGTGTGTAGTTCTATTTGTGTTCACCATGATCCATCCCAACAATGGAGCCAGGGGTGGACGCAAAAAATTCAAAGTTAGGGGGCATAATCGAATTTGCAAAAAAGTTGGGAGAAATTTTATAATCGAAAATTTTCGTCCAAAAAAATTATACCCTATATAATTTTGTATCCGAAAATTTACATGGGATATAAAATTTCGAAAATTTTTGATATTATATTTCATATAAAATTTCATAATAAAATGATGAAAATTATATTGAGAAATTTGTATTGTAAAAATAATAAATATTAATGAAATAACTGAATTTTTTTGAAAAAATGCGAGTTAAACGTCTTTCTTTAAGACTTATATTTAACGTATTTTTAACAATTTTCGATATCTATTTGAATTATTCGATATGCCCATAATGTAATTCTTGAAATAAATTTTGAGATGACATAAACAATTTTTAGATTCGATTAGTGTACGATCGTCGGAAATTTTTTAAAATTGACATGTTATCGAAATTCAAATTTATTGTGATTTTGCTCCTGTTTTGTGGAAATTAAAATCAAATTTTAAGTAAATTTTGATAAAAGTTAAATAGTTATGAATTTCATGAAATATGTCATTAAAATTAATTGTTAACTTTGATTTAGATTGAAATTTAAATTTCAATCGATACCAAACATGATTTAAAAAAAAAAAAAAAAAATTCTCGAAAGTTGTTGGGGGCCCCAGGACCCCCTGGGTCCGCCAGTGAATGGAGGTAATGTGTGTGAAATGAAATGAAATCTTATCACAATTTTCGAAATAATTCTACTAGTGTTCTGTTGAAGAATATGTTTGATTGTATTTAAAAGTTGCTCATCTAGAAAAATCATATTTAGTTAAATTATCATTGTTATAATAAATTTGATTTTCATAAAGTATTAATAAAAATGTTCTAAATGTCGCACAAAATCAAAGACGGATGTTGAACGGTATTACTATATAACATTATTCAATCATTTTGGTTACTAGATGATTTTCAACTATATAATAAAGACGGGAATCGTTTTGATTAATTGCTTGCGATAATTTATTGATGCTCGTTATGATAAAGTTCTTCAAATTTGAAATTTAAAAAGATGGACTGAGAGAAAAATTAACTTTATATACTTATATCGCATACCTAAAGAAAATGGACTGCTTCTTCGATCATGTTACTTGTAAAATTTTATTTGACAATTTTGATTGATGATTTACACTTGAAAACATCATATCACATTCATACATTTAAAAAATTATTTTTAAAATTAATGGCCCGAATTTTCTCAACACCAAAATGATCAACTATAAATATCAAGCATGATTAAATAGGTTAATTTCCATTTCTTTTTTTAATGATAAGATCAAATATTCAATCATTAAAAACTGTATTAGGAGTTGTCAGAAAAGCGACTGCCGACTCTTTGAATCTACGCAAAAAGTTAAAACTTTTCCCAAGAAAATAAAATAACAGCTGCCCCATACTCCATTAAATTGTAGAAACAGCCCAACAAACTTTTCTAATTCTTGACCTTTTTCCCATTGTGGCGGATGGAAAGGGAAATTTAGCTACATTTATTCGAACTTTTACATACTAAGCATAATTATACTTTAGATAAAGGCAATTGGAGTGGAATGGCTTGTTGGTCGAGTTTAGAATCCAAGAGTAATATAACGATATTATCACTTTNAAAAAAAAAAAAAATTCTCGAAAGTTGTTGGGGGCCCCAGGACCCCCTGGGTCCGCCAGTGAATGGAGGTAATGTGTGTGAAATGAAATGAAATCTTATCACAATTTTCGAAATAATTCTACTAGTGTTCTGTTGAAGAATATGTTTGATTGTATTTAAAAGTTGCTCATCTAGAAAAATCATATTTAGTTAAATTATCATTGTTATAATAAATTTGATTTTCATAAAGTATTAATAAAAATGTTCTAAATGTCGCACAAAATCAAAGACGGATGTTGAACGGTATTACTATATAACATTATTCAATCATTTTGGTTACTAGATGATTTTCAACTATATAATAAAGACTGGAATCGTTTTGATTAATTGCTTGCGATAATTTATTGATGCTCGTTATGATAAAGTTCTTCAAATTTGAAATTTAAAAAGATGGACTGAGAGAAAAATTAACTTTATATACTTATATCGCATACCTAAAGAAAATGGACTGCTTCTTCGATCATGTTACTTGTAAAATTTTATTTGACAATTTTGATTGATGATTTACACTTGAAAACATCATATCACATTCATACATTTAAAAAATTATTTTTAAAATTAATGGCCCGAATTTTCTCAACACCAAAATGATCAACTATAAATATCAAGCATGATTAAATAGGTTAATTTCCATTTCTTTTTTTAATGATAAGATCAAATATTCAATCATTAAAAACTGTATTAGGAGTTGTCAGAAAAGCGACTGCCGACTCTTTGAATCTACGCAAAAAGTTAAAACTTTTCCCAAGAAAATAAAATAACAGCTGCCCCATACTCCATTAAATTGTAGAAACAGCCCAACAAACTTTTCTAATTCTTGACCTTTTTCCCATTGTGGCGGATGGAAAGGGAAATTTAGCTACATTTATTCGAACTTTTACATACTAAGCATAATTATACTTTAGATAAAGGCAATTGGAGTGGAATGGCTTGTTGGTCGAGTTTAGAATCCAAGAGTAATATAACGATATTATCACTTTCTCAATTAGTAATCGCTCTAAAGAGATCAAATAGTTAGATTGATCCTCATTTAAGTAGTGTGATTTCATCGAATCGGAGGAATAGAGAGAACGTTACGAAGCACCTCATGGACTGCAAGAATTGAATGAATTGAATCAAAATTTGATGAAGCTTGCTATGGGTACATCACCCCTTACACAAGGGGTGCCCCTCAAATGAGGATGCGCCACTTGTGCATTATGTCACGCCTTGTGTAAGGGGTGATATACAAATAGCATAATTCAAATTTGATTATGTAATAGATCTCAAATTGGACCATAATAATTTGGTTCTTAATCCTAAAATCGATGCATGAAATAATTTTAATTATAACTAGACCGAATCGACATGTTTGGTTTGAATCTGGTGTAAGCAAAGTAGTTATCCTTGGTCGATCCTTCTACCTTCTGGAAAATTCTCCGATTTGTTGAAGGAAATTTGTTAATAAAGGGCAGTCTACAAATTTTGAAACTTTTAGGGTCTATTTTACAATTACAGTAAATTTGAAATCCATAAATGTAAACTTTAAAATAATCCATATTATCCTCCACTAAGTCTTATAAATATCCGCAAACAAATCGGCTCCACACCTCTGCCCAGGTGATAAAATGTCTATAGCTGTAAGTCGGCCACTCTTCCGCCACCCCCACCGCCAAGGCGGCGCCCACCGACCCACCTATCTGAATTCCAGTATGGCCCGGCCCTTTTATCTAAATTACACTCAGAGCCCAAGGCCGATCTTCAATGACGCCTGTAGCCTTAGCTCGCGCCATTTCAAGCCGGCTAAAGCTCTTTCTCTACGAGCCAGTTCCATTGATACTGCCGTCGTCGAAACCTCTGAATCTTCTGACGTCGTGTTCAGTGAAACTTTCCAACTAAAACGATCTGAAAAGGTATGCAATTTGTGATTTATGCGCCTGAAAATACGAAATTCGCAACGTTTTGCTTGTACCGTTGTACGCTAATATGTAGGCGTATTTTTGTGAATCTCCGCTTATAGGATAATGGGTTTGTATATCTGCGTGCATCTGATTCTTCCTTGACGAGATGAATGAAAATGACGCTAGATAAAAATTGTGGGAAATTTCTTAAGCTTGAGGTTGGAACTTTTTTTTTTTTTTTTTGAAGTTTATGATTATTATTATTGATATTATTGTTGCGGTTCGTAAATGGAAGCGACACGTTGCATCATATTGCAGTGGTGTGACCAGCTTAGTTGAGCCCGGGCGTATTTTCCTAGCCTTTGACGTAGAGATCGAGGCCCTAGCTTATTCTGAGGCCTTAGCTGATCCGAGACTTTCGTTTATTACGGGGCTATGTTATCAATGAAGATCCACGTGGAAAAAATACAGTAATGATGAAGATCTTCATGTGAGTGATTGATGTGACTTTTGTGATAAGCAACTTTGTGTCGTGTCGTGTCAATGTAAGAGTATTTAGGTGTTGTTCTCTTTGTCGTTTTCAAGTCGTTTTCTGTTTTCGATTTTTCAAAACGGCGAAAACGCGTTCTCTTCGTCATTTTCGAAAACGAATTTTCGAAAACGAAAAAAAAAATTGTGAAGAAAACAGAAAATGGCCAAAAAGCCGTTTTTCGCGTTTCCTTCGCAAACACAGCAAAAAATGGAAAACACGGGAAATGGCCCAAAACGGCTTCCTCCTTTCTACTACAACACAGGAAACAGAACAAACCCCTTCTTCCTCCTTTCTATTGTCAACCACACTGTACCGCCACTTTCAAACCCCCCAAACTCCGGCCAACCTCCTCCAAAATGGCCGGATCAATAAACCACTGTGAAGCCCTCAATCCGCTCTTCAATTACCACACAAACAACAATTCAATCATACACCAAAATCGAAGGAAAAAACCTAAAAAATTGATTCAGCACACACGGCTTCGCTGGAATCAGCCAGTTCTGGAGCCAATCAAAGGTGACCCATGGTACTATTGGATGCACCTTGTTGAGAGGAGTGGATTGGTGGTGGTCTACGATTGGAAATGTGGCCCGCGACGGTGTTTATTGGCCGAAACCGTGAGTGGTAGCAAGGCGATTTCGGCTGATTTATGGTCAATTAATTCATGGATGTTGTATAGGGAGGTCGGGGGGTTGGAATGATGCTGGGATTTGGTGGTCTAGGTGGTGGGTGGTAGATATGGCAAAAAAAACCGCCCC